ATTTAAAAAGATATGTAATTTCTTTTCTCTTAGAGAGAAGATAAAAGGTACAAAGAACCAAAGACAATCAGAAAAAATATTGCAGACAGCATAAAAATCCCCAGAGTCATTAAAAGAACTGAAATGAATAGTGAATGGATGAAGGGTCATTCATTAATGATCTCTTTGTTTATAAGTGGGCTCACACCCAGGGAGAAACCTTCTGGTCTACCTATTTGCTGGAGTTGGGAAAGAAAGTAGGCATAGCAGCGTTAAGAGCAAAAGGTTGACTAACCTAAAAAGAACATGGGAAGAAAGTTCTCAATAACAAATACGCCATAAAGCTCACTCAGTTGAGAAACATGGGACCTTCAGTACAGTGTTTCCTGCATTTATATAAACTGCTTGAATTTTAGACAATTTATGCAATGTCTATGAACCCGTTTTTCCCCATAAAATATGGGGGAAAATATTGATGTAAATAATAATGTATGAACCATGAGAAACAACATTGCAACTAAAAGCATGGTCTTAGGGTTCACTGAGTTTCTGCCATTAATGCTATGTGCATGAATTTAGGGGTATTCTGTGTCTGTGGTCCCTCAGTCACACGTGAGGAAGTCTGTGTGAGTTATTGTATTCAAAGACTTACATAATACCTGACTCCATGATAGTGAACGGTTGTTTTGTTGCCGTTACTTTTATGTGTAAGTAGCAGGAGACAATTCTGGCTAATCAAACAGAAAACCTTATGTTAAAAAAGTTACATCTTTAAAAATTTGTATTTTTTTAATTTAAAATTTTTTGAAAATTTCATAATTGAGTATTGTATTGACATCATTTCTACCCTTCCCTCTCCCCTTGCAAATTCTCCCATATCTCAAAGTTCAGCTCTCTCCCAAATTTATGATCTATTATTCTTTATTATTGTTACATACATATATATGAGCACTGCTAAATGAACTCAATATATTATGTATTTATCATATTATATGTATACACATATATTACATAGATAACATGCTTTGCTCATATGTACATGTATTCAAATTTCACAAGTTTGGATTTGGAAACCAGGTTAAGGGAAAACTTAAATGAATGAAATCCAAAAGCACCTCACAGATTTATAATGAGAAGAAAACGCACCCACAATCACCAAGTGTTCAATATTCACGTTTGAACCGTTACAAATTTTGTGCCGGAACTCAGATTTATTACTACTAAAAATCACAGCCATCCAAGCTGCAAGGAAAGCTAAGAAAAGCAAAGAGCTGACATTTTCAAACCCTCCAGAAGGTAGACTTTCCCAGTACGATAGGCTCTGATGCATGGTGGACAAATAAGCAGCTTGCTTTCAGCATTAATTCTTAGATTTATTGTGCAGGAAGACCTACTAAACAAAGTTACCTGTTTTAGCCGAGGTCAAGAAGATGCTAGCCATAATTTCATCATGAAGAACTTGAAATATCTGTGGAGGAGGAAATTCTGAACACTCTTGACATAAGCTAAGTTCCTAGGCAGCCTCAGCATGCAATACTTAAAAAAGAAACCGTATTCCTAACTAGAATTGAGTACTCAAATTTTAACTAGACAGTTCAAAGTTTTCTACCTATTTATGTGGGTGCGGAAACAGAAAACGTTGGGAAAACCTAATTGTAAAGAAAGGTAAAAGTGCCCAGAGTTTGATAAACATTCTCTCACATTAAAAAAATCCTCTAAAGTATTTCTAATCTGTTTCCTAAACTATTAATATGTTTGGGTTGCAGAGGAGAAGGAGGCCCTGCGGATACCAGCCAGAGAGAAAGGCACAGTTTTAGTCTGGCTTTACCTATTTTAAACTCCTCAGCTATAAAAACAGGGCCTGAAATATCAGTCCATTGTCCTTTCAGAGCAATGTACAGCTATTCTCACCCTGTGACTAATGCCTAGTGCCTGCCTCAAATTGCTCTGGGCTTCTCCTGCTGCTGCATTCCAGGCATACTGGGTGGTTCCCAAGGCAAATGTTCCCCCATTGCGTGAACTTCAGGTCATTTCTAAACTGGTCGGACTCTGCAAACCCCAAGGCTATTATTGGGTATTTTTGTGTGTTGATAGAAACCACAAAAACACAATTAATGAGCTTCTAAAGCATGTCGGCAATGGAGCTCTCATACCCATAACATACACATTATTATTTTTAGCAACTACAGTAATCAAGACAATAGAAGTGAGACTTAGGAAGGTCACTCTGCTCGTTGCTTCTTTCTTTTCAATTCAAAGGAAACTCATGTATTCAATGATTCCCGAAGAGCCACTTCGCCATTACGGAATATGAGTTTGATTCCCTCCATCTGAGGGGTGAAAATATTGGCCAAATTTATACTGTGTATTCTAACAAACAGTTAGGTATTATAAATATCTGAGATACAGAGGAATGTATGTAGGAAGGATAGCCATCACCCAAATGGAAATATTTGGCCTAGGGAGCGAATGATGACCAGAACTAATTATACGCCCCTCTGTATAAACCAGTGTGAGATATGTTCTCCCCAAAATTTTGTGTAATTGAATGACTGGATGTTGGAAAGAGTTTTAAGTGAGGCAGGGCACTTTCTGATTAATGGCAGGAAAAGCATCTTTATTTGTTGAGTGTAGTATCTGTATTGATCATAAGGCCCTAGGCTTTCCAACATCAAGACCATAATATATAGGGATTAAGGTGATGAACCCCAGCTGACTTCCTGTGTTCAAACCCTGGCTTCTCTCTTTAACAACTTTGTGACCTCAAGAAGCTGCTTCCAGACCTCGTGTATTCTGGGACAACAATAGCTCCTGCATCATGACCCCGCTCTGTGTCTAGGACGCTATGTGCATACAGGAGCTAATATTCATGTATTAGAACACCAGAAAATAAAGCTTTGGCTGTCATCATAAATATTAAATAGACATGTTTAGAAAACTCTCAATGGAGATAAAGATACAGATTCTTGGGTGGGGTAGTTTTTGTTGTTGTTTAACTAAGATAAAGTATGTCATTTCTCAGGTTTGTTAGTGATATGAAGGTTTTGTTGCTAGATAATCCTTTAAGAGTTGAGGGTAAGAAATTACAAGCACTCTGTAAGTGAAGCTTGAAAGATTTAGTAAGATGAACCATGCCCAATGGTTTGAAGCAAAAGAAGTAACTAAGACAATACATCCTTTCATCTTATTATTTAAAGAAACATCATATAAATTAACTCCGAATAAAGAGGTGACTCTCACTACAGGCATCTTTTAAAGACTGCAATGCGAAGAGTGTTAGATCAAATGCTGACAAAATAATTGAAAGCTGGCTGGACAGATGGTTTAGTGGTTAAGAGCACAGCATGGACTGCTCTTCCAGGGGACCCAGCTTCAATTCCCAGCACCAACATGGCAGCTCACAATTGTCTGTAACTTCAGTTCTGAGGTACCCATACCCTTATAAACGCATTCATGCAGGCAAAACACTATTGCTCATGAAATAAAAATAAATAAATCATTTTAAAGAATAAATAATGAATAAATAAACATTGAAAACTGAAGTTGGTATAGAGAGAGCCTAGAAGTGATATTACAATAAGCAGCCACCTCACCAAACAATGTCTTTAAACTGAAACATCTTTCAAAAGTATACACAGAAAACATTTGGAAAGGCAGATTAAAGCTTCTGCCAGTAATTACTTTCGAGGATGAGGGGAGTGATCCATTGGGGCATTTCTCTTTCCACTCCAGAGATTACGTTTGTTACACAACACTATACATCCTGGCACAAAACTATCTAATCTATTAACAGTGACTTTTGCAAAGAATGCCAATATTTGAGCCCTTTAAGAAAACGCTATGGTCTGGAGTACCAACCGTGCTGAAGGGCACTGTAGCTTGTTCATTGTCCTCCAACGAATGAGCTTCAGCAGATCAGCAGTGCCAGTCTGTGCCCATACTTTGGATAGTTGGCACTGGAGGGAAATGCCAGTGTCATTCCTGTCAAAAAAAAATATCTAGTAAGTCTGAGAGAAATATGAAAGAGAGTGCTCTTTGGACTGAGAACATCGTTGCTCCCCACATAAAGAGGCAGCATTAGGAAACATCTTACAAATACTGTCATCTTTGGAAAGAGGCTGAAATCTTTCAGCAGCAGTTAGGCCCCGAATTAACGACCTCACACCTCCAAGGGTTGATATTCATGTTTTGCTGTTTAAATGGTCTTTCTATTGTTTGAATTAGGAGAGGAAGAAAGGAATTAATAACAGCTGAGTATTGATTACAGGCTAAGGGCCAAGGGCCAACCTTGTCTATTTGATGCAGGTTACCCTCTGGGAAAGGCTACTGTTACCCCACTTTGCACATGAGAAAATGGAGGGCTGAGAGGTTATTTGCCTAAAGTTCTGCAGCTAGCAAGTAACTAATGGAATCGAAACGCTCCAGTTCTAAGCGTGCCGCCACTACACACAACCATGAAGCTAAATCAGAGCACAGATGGCCGGGACAGTCAGAATTATTGATGACCTGCCTTTTGGACATTCGTACAATAGCAGGATAACCTGTCTCCTCAAATGTTAAGAAACTGGGCCTGAGCTATTTTACTACAGTAAAATGAAATAACAAAAATAATTTCTTAAAACAAAACAGAAAACAACACAAAGCCACAGATTCTCTCTTTGCCCATACCTGTGATGGGTTCTGCTGTGCTAGGGTGCAGCCTCTCACTCTAAGACATTGTAACTAATGAGAAATTGTGTAAAGACATCCACAAATACCTTCGTGTGCTGCTCAGCACTTTACAGGTGTCAATCATGTTTATCTTGAGCAAGTCTTTGAAGCAGAAAAGTGTTAAGATTCACATAGGCATAGACAAGTCTTTAATTTTTGTCTTCTTCGTCGACTACTGTTACTCGACAATGACAAATATTCCCTAAAATAATCCCTAACTAAAATGTTTTAAAAAATAAAATAAGGAAAACAAGCTAAAGATTCTGATGTTTTCTTCTCTCCTTCATACACCATCCTCCTTGGACACACAGGAAAATGGACAAAGAAAATATGGTGGTCCTCCACCGGGCTGGGATGCTGCACCCCCAGAAAGGGGCTGTGAGATTTTTATTGGAAAACTTCCCCGGGACCTTTTTGAGGATGAACTCATACCATTGTGTGAAAAAGTGAGTCCAAAATTAATTTCTTCTTTCAGATGAAAAATATTATTCTCTTTAGTTAGCTTTAACTATTTTTCAACTTTTTAAAAAATGTCTCTGTAAAACGTAAGTATACAGTGTGCATGTGCGTGTGCGTGTGTGTGTGTGTGTATGTTTATGTTTTGGGGTGTAAGTGTGGATGAAAGCAACACAACACATGTGTGGTGGTCAGACGACGGCATCAGTGTCTGTCTTCACCTTACATTTTGTTTGAGTCAGGGTCTTTAACTGTTCACTACTGCATATACAAGTCTACCTAGCTCATGACCTTCCAGATTTTCCTGTCTTGGCTTCCCAGCTCGGTGTAGGAGCTCTGGGATGACAGATGTGTGCTGTTACATCTGGATTTGCATAGGTCCTCGTACTTACAGAGCAAGCACATCACCCATGGTGCCATCTGCCCAGTGCCCAGTTTGATGATTCTCTCCCACATCCCCTCACATCAGCTATGGACAGCATGAAAGTGACGAGATCTCCTGAGTAAATTGGGAACATGGGGACCATGGGAGAGGGATGAAGGGGAGGAGAGAGGAAAGGATGGAAGCAGAGAAAAATGTATAGGTCAATAAGACCAATTTAAAAAGAAAGAAAGGAAGGAAGGAAGGAAGGAAGAAAGAAAGAAAGAAAGAAAGAAAGAAAGAAAGAAAGAAAGAAAGAAAGAAAGAAAGAGAGAAAACCTCCCCATCAGCTGTCTCCTTATTACTTGTGCCTTTGCCCGGATCTTTGTCTTCTTGGATGAATAACTTGAATTGCTGACAGTTTGCAAATTCATATCTCTTCCCCCATTTCTCTCCTAGCAGCTGAATCACTGCAAACCCCAAGTATCTAACAATACAGGACAGTGGAGCAATCCATCAAACATAAGATACTGCTCCAACTTGACATCTTAATATGACTTTATTTCATGTAAGAAATCCATGTGCAGCATTTCATGTAAGAAATTATGTATGCTTGCCTGGCTTAAGTTTGTGTATTACACATATTGATTCAAGTAAAATTTTCTTCTGTAAGTAGAATTGATTATCTTACTTAATATACTGAACAGATTAAGAACATGGTTACTCAATGCTACATGATTACTAAGGCAAATATTTCCCTAGTTCCACATGGCATTTTAATACTAAACTCAGATTATAGAAAAATGCAATCTTAAAGTTAGTTTTTAATATGCTGCCGGGTGTATTTTTCCAGCAAGCACACTGAGCATTAGAATTTGGTTCTTCCCCTAAATGGCAAAAATTAATTGCCACCATGTGCAGCCTCTGGTAGGGAGCCACTGATTTTATACACTGAATCTCAGATAAAATATGAAAAATCCTGTACATTTTTCTAATTCTTAACATGAAAATGGGAATGGGTGACATGTGAAACAGGAAAAATGTTCACTCTTCCACCAAGAAGAAATAGACGCTCCCCAGCGAGTTCTTGGAGTTGAGTGGACTGAGGCTAAGCAAAGCGCCGTCAAGAGCTGAAGTACATGCAGGCTCACTGGCATCTCTTCCCACGTAGCTAGTGCTTGTATTTGGACCACCCTTCTTATCAAAACTGCTTATCAAAACTGGGTGATAAACTGCATAGTCTGGGTTAGTTCAAAACAGTTGGAGCACAGGAGAAGGACAATAAGGGCACGCAGAGGAGTGATAGACAGATAGATGGAAAGCAAGGACTCCTTTGCTATGAGGTTCTGATCCTCTGTCAGTTGTATTGAAGATTGCATTCATTTCAAGCTAGAAACTGCTAAAAGAAGAAACCTCCCTAAGAGATACACTATATTTATTCTGACATCATGGCAGTGGGAAAAGACAGCCAGGAAGTTAGTTTAGCAAGGTCCCAAAAGAGTATCCTTGTTTCCTGTTTTACATGTCAGTGACAGACTACAGCCAAGAAAAGGTCAATCCACAGAGACATTAGAAGAAAACCCAGAAGGCTTGGGTGAATCTAACAAGAAACTGTACTTCTGATGACAAATGCACTTTTGGCTCCGCAAGACGTTACATAAATCTCCAGATAGTTGTATGACAAAAGGTCATTTGCTCAGCCAAAAGCACATTTCGTTAGCTGAGGCTGAAATGCCATTTGTCCTTATTTTCATTATTTAACTTGGCTTTTCCCATGAGTTAGATAATTAATCTAAAGCCACTATAAAAGTATGCAAACCATTCCCATGGTTACAAATGCCAAACACAGCAGGAGGCAGTTCTGCAAGCATCTTGTGTGTGCATGTGTGTGCACGTGTGTGTGTGTGTGCATGTGAGTACATTTGGGAGTATAAATATGTAAATAGAAATGTTCTGTTTCTATTCATTACAGATTGGTAAAATTTATGAAATGAGAATGATGATGGATTTTAATGGCAACAACAGAGGCTATGCATTTGTGACATTCTCAAATAAGCAGGAAGCCAAGAACGCAATCAAGCAACTTAATAATTATGAAATTAGGTAAGTTCCTCATCTTCTAAACTCAAACTGGATCCAGAAATTCACCTGTGTCGAGTTTACGTGATGGAGCATGTGTACAAGCCAGCCAAACTGAAATAAAATGCTAGATCATTTTCTGATGTAAACGATCTGTCTAAACATTTATTTAATCTCATTATTGCATGAGGTGCTAAAGTTCACATAGATAAAATTTATTAATTAACTAATTTCATTAATATGTACTGAATACTGCTTAAAAGAATTGAAATACATCAAGGTATTCTCTGTTCCCATAGGACACAAATACAAAAGATGAAATAAAGAACTTGAAACAGAAAACCAAGGAGGAATAGGTTGTGTGAAGAGAGTGTTACTTGAATTTGGTTGTTTTAAGAACATGCTGTCTGGAAAAGTAAACTATGGTCTGATATTCGGATGAAAAATTCAGTCAAGACAGTCAGACCCCAAACAAGGTTATTAAGAGGAGAAAGGCAATGAATTGCAAGTACAAAAATTCCTAAAATTAAAACAAATTTGACATTTGATATGTATGAAAGACAGGAAGGAAATCAAGAAGGGGAAAAGAAAGAAAATGGTTAAAGGCAGTACAGGTGGAGAACATCAGCCCTACTGAAGAATCTGGATTTACTGATATAAAGATCTAGCATTAGGAAAGAATTTTAATTAGCCTTCTGCGTGTTAAAGCATTGCCATGGGTGCAGGGTAAGCAGCGAACTGAAAGAGGGAAACCATGTAGAAGGCTGAGGTGCATTCTAGACCTAGACAAGCAATGATGGAGACTAGATGAGGAAATCACAAGCAAAAGTGACAGAAAGGGTTAAGAACTGGACGTACTGGGGAAGCTGCAAGAGGGGAAGGGGACGACCAGGAGTGGCTTTGGGGGTTTCTGTTTTCTTTTCTTTTCTTTTCTTTTCTTTTCTTTTCTTTTTTTTCAGTTTAATTTTTTTTATTTTTATTTTTTTAAAAAAGAAAACTATCTTTTTTCATTATACATACCAATCCAAGTTCCCACTCCCTCCTCTCCTTCCATTCCCTCCACACACCCTTCTACCCCACCCCCATCCCAGTCCTCAGAGAGGGTAAGGCACATTGCTTCGGGGAAGGTCCAAGACCCTTCCTACTATATATAGGCTGTTCTGGATTTTTGGGAACCTATTCTCTTTGGATGACACCTTGTTCGGCCTATATATAGAATTCTGTTAAGAATTCTCTGTTTAGTTTTGTACCCCATTTTTCATTTGGGTTATTTAGAATTTTGATGTCTAATTTCTTGAGTTCTTTATATGTTTTGGAGATCAGTCCTCGGTACAATGTGGGGTTGTAGGCTGCCCTTTTGTCTTACTGACTGTGTCTTTTGCTTTACAGAAGCTTCTCGGTTCAGAAGGTTCCATTTATTTATTGTTGCTCTCAGTGTCTGTGCTACTGGGATTATATTTAGGAAGTGGTCTCCTGTGCCCATGCATTGAAGGCTACTTCCTACTTTCTCTTTTATTAGGTTTAGTATGGTTGGATTTATATTGAGGTCTTTAATCCATTTGGACTTGAGTTTTGTGATACGGATAAATATGGATCTATTTTTATTCTTCTACAAGTTGACATCCAGTTATGTCAGCACCATTTGTTGAAGTTACATTTTTTCCATCATATAATTTTAGCTTCTTTATCAAAAATCAGGTGTTTATAGGTGTATGGATTAATAATCTGGGTCTTCGATTCAATTTCATTGGTCAACCTCTCTGTTTCTATGCCAGTACCAAGCTGTTTTCATTACTATAACTCTTTAATAGTGCTCAAAGTCAGGGATGGTGATGCCTCCAGAAGTTCCTTTATTTTACAGGATTGTTTTGGCTGTCCTGGGTTTTTTGTTTTTCCATATGAAATTGATTATTGTTCTTTCAAGGTCTGTGAAGAATTGTGTTGGGATTTTGATTGGGATTGCATTGAATCTATAGATTGTTTTTGGTAGGGTTGCCATTTTTACTATGTTGCTCCTACCTACCAAGAGCAAGGGAGATCTTTCCATTTTCTGGTATCTTCTTCAATTTCTTTCTTTAAAGACTTAAAGTTTTTGTCAATTAAGTCTTTCACTTATTTGGTATTGTCCCAAGATATTTTACGTTATTTGTGGCTATTATGAAAGGTAATGTTTCTCTGATTTGCCTCCAAGCTTCTTTATCATTTGTTTATAGGAGTGCTACTGAGTTTTGGAGTTGATCTTGAATCCTGCCACATCACTGGAGGTATTTATCAGCTATAGGCGTTTTCTGGTAGAGATTCTAAGGTCACTTATAGACGCTATCATATCATCTGCAAATAATGAAAGTTTGACTTCTTCCTTTCCAATTTGAATTCCCTTGATCTGCTTTTGTTGTCCTATTGCTATAGCCAAAACCTTAAGAACTATTAAAGATATATGAAAAGAGTGGACAGCCTTGTCTTGTTCCTGACTTTAGTGAAAATAAATTTGAGTTTCTCTCCATTTTATTTGATGTTGTCTGTTGGCTTGCTTTATGTTGCTTTTATAACATCTAGGTATGTTCCTTGTATCCCTGATCTCTCCAAGACCTTTATCATGAGGGATATTGGATTTTGTCAAATGTTTTTTCATCATCTAATGAAATGATCATATCGTTTTTTTCTTTTCAGTTTATTTATATGAAGGATTACGTTGATAGATTTTTGTATGTTGAACAAGCCCTGCATCACTGGGATGAAGCCAACTTGATCATGGTGGATGATTTTTTTTAATGTTTTCTTGGATTCAGTTCACCAGTATTTTATTGAGTATTTTTGTAGTCATGTTCATGAGTGAGATTGGTCTGTAATTCTCTTTCTTGGTTGGGTCTTTGTGTGGTTTTGGTATCAGGATAACTATAACCTTATAGAAAAATTTTGACAATGTTTCTTCTGTTTCTATTAGGTGGAACACTTTGAGGAACACAGGTATTAGTTCTTCTTGGAAGTTCTGGTAGAATTCTGTACTAAAACCATCTGGCCCTGGGCTTTTTTTAGTTGGGAGGTTTTTGATGACAGCATCTATTTCCATGCAGTTTATAGGTTTGTTTAAATTACTCACTTTTGGCATATGGTATCTATCTAAAAAATGTTCATTTTCTTTACATTTTCCATTTGTAGAGTACAGGTTTTTGTAGTATGATCTAATGATTTTGTGAATTTCATCAGTGTCTGTTGTTATGTCCCCCTTTTCATTTCTGATTTTGTTAATGTGGATGTTCTCTCTCTGCCTTTTGATTACTTTGGATAAGGGTTTGTCTATCTTGTTGATTTTCTCAAAGAACTAGCTCTTTGTTTCATTGATTCTTTGTTTTATTTTCTTTGTTTCTATTTTGTTGATTTCAGCCCTCAATTAGATTATTTCCTGTCTTCTACTCCTCCTAGGTGAGTCTGCTTCTTTTTGTTCTAGAACTTTCAGGTATGCTGTTAAAGTCAGTAATGTGAGCTTTCTCCATTTTCTTTATGTGGGCACTTAGTGCTATGAACTTTTCACTTAGCACTGCTCTCGTAGTGTCCCATAGGTTTGGATATGTTGTGCCTTCATTTTCATTGAATTCTAGGAAGTCTTTAATTTCTTTCTTTATTTCTTCCTTGACCCAGGGGTTGTTCAGTAGTTCACTGTTCAATATTTCCATGAGTTTGTAGGCCTTCTGAGAGTAGTATTGTTGTTAAATTCTAACTTTAATCCATGGTGATCTGATAAGACACAGGGAGTTACTCCAATTTTTTGTATCTGTGGAGGTTTGCTTTGCTACCGAGTATGTGATCAATTTTCGAGAAGGTTCCATGAGGTGCTGAGAAGAAGGTATATTCTTTTGTGTTTGGGTGAAATATTCTATAAATGTATGTTAAGTCCATTTGATTCGTGACATGTTAGTTCTCTTATTTTTCTGTTAAATTTCTGTCTGGTTGGCCTGTCCATTGGAGAGAGCAGAGTATTAAAGTTTCCTACTACTAATGTGTGGGTTTTGTTGTACAATTTAAGCTTTAGTAATGTTTCTTTTTCATATATGGGTGCTCTTGTATTAGGGCATAGATATTCTGGGTTGAGACTACATCTTGATGGATCGTTCCTGTTATGAGTATAAAGTGTCCTTCTCCATCTCTTCTGATTGATTTTAGTTTGAAATCTATTTTGTTTAGATATTAGGATAGACACACCTGCTTGTTTCTTAGGTCCATTTGATTGGAATACCTTTTCCCAACTCTTTACTCTGAGATAGTGTCTGTGTTTGAGATTGAGGTGTGTTTCTTGTATACAGCAGAAGGCTGGATCCTGTTTTCGTATCCATTCTCTTAGCCTGTGTCTTTTTATAGGTGAATTGAGTCCATTGATATTAAGAGATATTAATGACCAGTGGTTGTTAATTCCTGTTATTTTTCAGTAGTGGTGTTTGTGTGTTTCCCTTCTTCGGCTTTTGCTTGTGGGGGGTTATCTGTTGCCTGTGTTTTTGTGGGTGCAGTTAGCTTCCTGGGGTTGGGGTTTTCTTTCTCGTACTTTCTGTAGGGCTGAATTTGTGGATACATATTGTTTAAATCTGGTTTTGTCCTTGAATGTCTTGTTTTCTCCATTGAGGGTGATTGAAAGCTTTGCTGGGTACAGTAGTCTGGACTTGCATCCATAGTCTCTTAGTGTCTACAGCACATCTGCCCAGGACCTTCTGTCTTTTATGGTTTTCATTGAGAGGTTGGATGTAATTCTGATAGGTCTACTTTTGTATGCTACTTGACCCTTTTCCTTTGCAGCTCTTAATATTCTTTCTTTATTCTGTATGTTTTGCATTTTGATTATTATATGGCAAGGGAACATTTTTATTTTTGATCCAATCTATATGGGTGTTCTGTAAGCTTCCTGTACCTTCATAGGGATAGCCTTATTTAGGTTGGGAAAGTTTTCTTTTATGATGTTGTTGAATATATTTTCTGTGCCTTTGAGCTGCAGTTTTTCTTCTTCTTCTATCCCTATTGTTTTTAGGTTTGGTCTT